AGAATTAACTTTAGTTTTCTCATTTATTGCACTCCACTCACATTTATTAACATACTTCACCTACTTTCATTAGAGAGAAAATGAACAATTATACTCCTTTTTCAATTCTTCTCAAAATACATGAAAAATCAATTTGGGAGTTAGTACTTTTTTTTTCTTTTCTAAAATCCTCCTAAAATCAAACATTTTGATGTTTTTTTGGGTACGGGAGATGGAGATTGGAGAGCAGAATCTAAAAACCAAAAGATGAAAGAAAGGCAAGAAATCACTTCCTTTGCTCCGAAGTTAATTGCCAATTTGTCTTCGGCGTCGTGGCCATCTTCATCCTGAAAACCCTATATATATAAGACTCGCTTTCTTTCCATTGCTAGCTCGCATCTTTCGCCCGCTCAATTTCGGTGAGTTCTTTAGCTTCCCCGACTCCAAGTCTAGGGTTTTCATTTTTTTGAATACAAGCGATTGTATGTGGATTATCTTTCTTTGGATGCTTATCTTTCTTGATTTTTGCGCTCCGTTCTTCTTTATTACTCTTTGAAATCCCAGTCTTGAAAAAATTCTTGGAAAGATAATGTTCCCGAAATAAAACTCTGATTTTTTTTCGATTGGTTTTTTCTTTCCTGAAATCTGGGCGCCCATTTCATATTTCTTGGAAAGATTCTAATTTAAGTTTCATTGGTTTTGCTGCGAATTCAATTCTGATTTTTTGTTAGGTTGCATGGTGATTGTTGTTTTACAATTGCAGCTGGGAGTAGGAGGAGGCAATTTTTTGTGTTTGGGGCCTTTCTTTTGCTTTTGAACCTTTTTGAGTACCTTAAAGAAAAATAAAGTCTTGTTGTTTGAAAGAAGAAATTTTGGAGGTCAAGGTCTCATGAGAATTGTTAGGGGAATGCAGCAGAGGGAACTGGGATGTTACTGTGACAACTCATTCAGCCAAGGGATTGGGGTGACTGCACCAAAGGCCAGGAAGCGTGACAAATTGAAAACAAAAGCGTTCATGTTCCTCTAATTTAGGTTAGGCAAGATAGTTGTAGCCTAGGCCTCTGGGTGAAGTAGGCATACAAAATGACTAGGGTACTTGTTCAAAGAGGTTCTAGCGGGTCTTCGTCATCGTCATCATCCAACCAGAATAGACCATTGACATCACTGCCAAGTTCATCTTCTTCAGCTCCGGTTCAGCCGCAACATACTACCAACAACCAAGCACTGCCAACTGGGAAAGACAATGAACTGGGAGCAGAAATGCAAGATCAGGATGAGTCTTTGGTTGATTCTTCGGAGAACATATCAGTGAAAAGCGAGGATTCTTCACCAGAAAATTTGAGCAATGACTTGCGAGTCAGTGAACCAAAAATAGTTAATGATTCTGTTTTTGGTGATCTGTCCAAGGGACTTGGTGGGTTGAAAATTGTGGAAGAAGAGGAAAAAGAAGGAAGTTCTTTGCAAACAGTAACTGGCAGTTCATATCCGCCTCCTCCTCCTGTGCCACCTCCAAAACCTGCTTCCATGAATTCAAATCTGAAGAGGTATCCATCTGGAAGTTCAAGTTCTTTGCGAACAGGATGTAGGGGGCCTTTTGGGCATCATGTTGTATCACATAGAACTTCACCAACCAGATCTCAGCCATCTTCTCCGCGGTCTCACTGTGAAAGTGAAGGTTATAACAGCGCTGATGAGCAAAGCCCATCTCCTGGCCCCTCTTATGATGATGCAGTAAGTGCAAATCATGTTTCATGCCTAGTAAATGAATAGTGTTCATGTATGTGTTACCTTTATTTTCTTGCAAGCATTTCTAAATGTTTGTGAGTATGAACTTCCTTTTCTAGACTAAGTACTGAGTGGCTACTCATTACAAGGAATTTCCTTTATAGTTGCAGAATGTTAAAAACATAAGTCTGATCTATTTTGTATCAGGAGAGGGAACGCCAATTTGAAATTGATTTGAGACGAGCTAAAGGTTTGGAAGTCAAGAAAATGTTGGAAGATGGAAACTGTCTCTTTCGAGCAGTTGCTGACCAAGTGTACGGTGATTCTGAAGCTTATGATTTGGTTAGGCAGATGTGTATTGACTACATGGTAACTCTATTTTTGTAGCCAGATTTTAATTTTGTCTATTCTGACATTGCCTTATAGCCTACTTCTGAGTTTTAGTACATTTTCAGAGTGATTATAGGGGGTATGTGGGGGGGGGGGGGTGTCAAAAGAACTTCAGTGTTCTTCTAAATGCTTCTAAGCTTTTTAATGATTTAGAACAGGTAGTAGACTAGTCGTTAAATCAGAGGATAGGATGTGATGTGTGTATGCTTTAGTTAGTTTTCCAGACTTACTCTGTCTCTATTCTACATCATTTTCAGTGAAGAATCTAGGTACTAGAGCTTACCTGACATGGGGTCGTTTCCTGTAACTTGACAAGTTGGGTGTCTGAAATGTATTTTGCTGGTTTTGTTCACAACATACCCATAATAGGCAGATATATGGTGTATAGTGTATTTTAAGTTTTAATGCAATTCCCTTATCGACAACATATTCTCTTTGTCTGACCTTCATTGATCATCTTATGTGTGCAATTGTGTATGTGGCAGAGCGTGCATTTATTGGTAATGTATTGTATTGGCTTATTTTATGTTATGTTCTAGGAACGTGAAAGAGACCACTTCTCTCAGTTCTTAACAGAAGGGTTCAGTTCATATTGCAAGAGAAAACGAAGAGATAAGGCATGTGATTTAATTATTTTTATTTGTTGAATTGAAAAATGAAAACTGGAAATTTTGCATGATTCATAAATTATTCATATATCGCCCCCACATGAACTATATTACCTTATGGCCTAGTAATCTGGAGTTACCAGGTGAAAACTTAATGCTATTTGTTTAGAGCTTTACATCTTAGCTAATGTTTTATTATGTATGAAGGGGTAGCTAATGTTTTATTATGCGTCACCCACCCCACTCGTGGGACTTCACTAGCTTCTTGTTTTATATACTATAATTTTATTTATTATCTTGCTGTTTTTCTCATTAAAAAATGACATGTTTGTTTTTTAATGGTTTTTGTTGTTTTGGGATTGTAGGTTTACGGTAACAATATGGAGATCCAAGCACTATGTGAGATGTACAATCGGCCTATCCACATATATTCCTATAGCACAGGTGTAATTTTACTCTATATTATTGTTGCTGTTGTTATTATTACAGTTGCTTATATTATTTCGTCTGCTCTGAAATTAAGTTTCCATACCCCTAGCAATTATCACTTATTAATGGAGCTAGTTGGCCTATTATGCAGAGCCTATCAACATATTCCATGGAAGTTATAATACAGATACCCCTCCCATCCGTTTAAGTTACCACCATCGTAATCATTACAACTCCCTTGTTGATCCACGCCGATTAACAATTGGCGCGGGGCTCGGTTTTAGCTCTTTACAAGGGGTAAATGAAGTCTCTCAATTCAGCATTTCCTTCAGTATTGTAGTTTCTATTCATAAATAAATCCTTATATTTTTACCTTATATTATTATTATTTACTCTGTTTATATGATCTCCTCTGCTAGACAAATGTTGACAAGGATCAAATAAAGGCAGCAATTAAGGCACAACAAGACCAACTAATTGATAAGGCATGTGCTCCTTCACACTTGTGGGTTATGTGACCTATGATCTTTTATTCAAAATCATACTGACATTTTCTAATTGCAGACCCTTCTCGCCGAGGGGTGCTTTTATTCGGATCTTGAGCTGACTGAGAAAGAAATAGAACGTATGGTGATGGAAGCTTCTAGGGCAGAGTATCTTGCAAAATACAAGTTCAAGCAACAACCACCCGGTCACAGAGAATCTTCTACCTCTTCTGCTGAACCATCATCTTCTGGAGGCGCTAGTAAGCTTGGCACACTTTCTATCCATTTATTTAGGCTCTGTTTGTTTCAAGGATTCAATGGGTGTTAATTTTTTTCCTTCATTGAAATAAATTCCACGAAATGCTACGAGCCCCAAAAATACATGGAAAATAACACTCCCCCTCAAAACCAACTCCACGGTTTCAAAACAGGCAGTCATTTTCCACAAAAATCTTAAGAAATGTACATTGGTAATTGTATGGGTGATTTGGTAGGATCTCCGAGAGGGAGAAGTGAGACGAGGCAGGAAGGAGTAAGGGAATCAAGGTTGCCAGATTCTGTTCTGAGTGACAGCATGCAGATTATGCTGACAATGGGATTCAGCTATCCCCAAGTGATTGAAGCCTACAGCATATTTGGGGAAGATGTGGACTCCATGGTCTGTTACCTTATAGAAACTAGCAGTAGCAGCAGCAGAAGACGCAAAGGAAAGGCAACAGAGTAAAGATCTAGTTCCCAAAAGTCTCTCTCTGTACTTTGCCCAACCATTTAGTTGAACTGTTGCTGTATTTGTCAATTCAATCCATAAACTTTGTTGGAGTACTCTATCTTGATTCATATTTTTCAACTGTTTGCTCTTGGTGATGGATGATTGAATGTGCTTATGCTTTTAGTGGTTTCTGACACTTGAAGCAAGTCAAGACCTCTTGCAGATTATGCAGTTTGAGGTAATTGCTGTGTAAAAATTGTGATCAATGATGCTTATGATATTATAGTTTGCAAAGGTGCTAGGCAAGACGTAAGTGGATCGATCATAAGTGCCTTGATTAGTAGAGAATTATGGTGCATACAAAGGGCGAAAATTGAAAATGTATATCAAGATAATTTATTCAATGACATTGCGAATGTAGAGTATTGAACAAAGAGTGAAAAGAAAGGTTAATAATGTGACATGATATGAAAAATTGCCAGATATTAAATGGTTCCAAGTGCCAAATTGGCCATCATTCTAAGCAAGGGAAGAGGACATTTTGTGATAATATCCAACCTAGACAAATTGGAGGCATGCCCAAATAGGGACAAACTCAACATAGCTAGCTCTCCAAGAGACAATCTTGAGGAAAGGAACCCATGCCAATAGTGAGGGCTGAGGTCAAAGAAAGCATCAAAGAACCTCCTAGTCCCATTCAAGTCAAGCCTTAACAACGTCTCCATTCCGAAAGAGTAAAATTCCCTTGCACGCTTCGTCTCAACGGGCCACAAATCATTCCAAACTCTTTCATAAAGTCGCGCCCCTCTAATCATTCTGGTTGAGCCAAGGCACTCGGCTATGCCCCTTGCCACGAATGGTGCTATTTCCATAGTCCTAGCAATCGTGTACCCTGTGGAATGGAAGGGTGAACAATCCCACAATTCCCTCCGAATGCCATTACATTTTGTGGAATATGTGGTAAAGGACCGCCCATGGGGATCAAGCATTTCTCGTCCTCTATAACACTCCTCACCCTAATGCCCAAGTGCCTTAACCGTGCCACCATCCTTTTCTTCACTTCCATGTACGACAAAACTGGACGGCTAACAAGTGAAGTTTCCTCTAAGAACACCAGATTCGATTCGAATGGCATCACGTACAAGAAAGTAGGAAACCTCGAGTTGTTTTCGCGCAAATATGGCTCGTTCCCCAAATGGGAATCCCTCCAATCCATCAAAACCATCTTGTCCAAATCAAATGGATGTTCATCCACTTCAGCTAGAATGCCATGAGCAATTTGGTACCCTTGTTTTCTTGGTCTACCATACCCTATGATTCTACTAGCAAATCCACTTGCATCAACTACTAAACTTGCCTTTAACTTCCTACCATCATCACATGTAACATAGGACTCAAACTCTTGATGATCAACTTTCCATACCTTGGCTTTGTAGAATTTCACACTATGGTTTATGCATTCATTCAACAACTTTGATTTCAAGTTTTCCCTACTCACTCTCCCATAAGCTCTATCCAAGCACTTGTGATTGTGATCATTGATGCAAACACTAGTTATAGGCCATGTTTTATCAAGACAATCCTCTAACCCTAGCCTCTCAAATTCATCAACCCAAACTCCATAGTTATTAGGCCACATTGAAAGCGGCGAAGGATCAATACAACATACCTTAATCCCGTGCCGGGAAACTTGCTCCGCCAGCCGGATTCCGGCAGGGCCGGCTCCGGCGATGATCACTTCAAATTGGGGCCGGTCTGAGTCGGGATCGTACCAGGAAAGATCGAGATCCAAAGGTTCTGGTTTTGATGTGGGTTGCAAGTCCAGAAAGCTGCCAAATTTGCTGGTGCTTTTGACTATGTGATTACAAGATTTTGTTGAAGAGATTTGGGGTTTTGGATTGAGAATTTGGGATTTTTGTTGGGAGAGAGGTTTGGTAATCAGAGAAGAAGGCATTAATGGCGGGAATAGCTTTAGGAGAGTTGCCATTAGGAAATCAAATATTGAAATTGATTGCAGTCTCTGAAATTAGAGGAGATTTGTGATTTTAAGGGGTTAATATATACACTTTGAGAGAAATATTAAGGCGTTTTGCTTCAAAGAATTTGAAAGAAAAAGCAAAAGGGATACAGATTTTTTTTAATGTTTGGTAAGAAAGGAAAAAAATTGGGAGGAAAACCAGGCAAATTCTATGGTAGACTTACATATGAGCAAAATAAGCATTTATTTATTACTTAAATGAGCATTTGTTTTTTGAAATAAACAAATATTTTTTTATGTGAGAAGGTCTATAAAAATGACATGCACCCAATGTGCACTAAATAAGCACTAGGAAAACAAAAGTGAAGGAAACATTGATAAAATGAAAAAAATAATTAGTTTTCAATTCATATTGGCAAAGAAAAGGAAATAAAACAGCAAGTCATCAAAAGAGGATAATTGCACAGAGGGGGTGGGGGCAATCCATGACAGTCCGTAATACTATCGCAACTTGTCAGTTGTCACAGACCAGTTTTATTTAAACAGTTCGGTATCGATATAAGATGAATCCCAAATTTATTTGGTACCGTTCTGGCATTCCATTTTGAATGGAATGGTACAATGCCGTACCAATGCATAAATAGTGCCAAAAAATTAAACGTCTAGAACTTTAATTGGTTAAAAGAATGATAATTTCAAATATAAAGGTTAATATCATAAAAATAACTCATAAAAGATAACGACTCCAAAATTTTGAAAAAAACAATGCATACAATATCCAATTACTAATAACTCCAAAATTACATTGTTCATAGTAGTAAAAAATACTCTCCGTGTCTCAAAATGTTTTACATTTTTTGCAAAATGAAGTGAAGTTTCATGTTTTATCGAATTCATTTTATTCAAAGATTGGTGTAGAAATTTGAAAAACTTACACATTTCAAAACTACGCCAAAAATTCTACAAATAGAGGTGTCAAGAATATTTTATTTTATCAAATAATCAATCAAAACATACAAATAAATAAAAGTTTTTGTGATTTTTAAATACTGAAAAATATAATTCTTTTTTGTGTCTGAAGAAGTATAATAATAATTATAATAATTATTATAATAATGAAGAAGAAATATTAAAAAAAGAACAATAAAATAAGAAGTACTTCATATATGATAAGATGAAGTAGATAAATAAGTACTCCGATCTGTATTTGACATAGTCTTTTGGTAGCATTGAATGGTTCAGTCTGTGATATTTGTTTTTAAATTTTTGTATCACGGTCTTGTCTCATTTGATATCAGTTTAGTTCTCATTCGGGATAAAAAATATCAATCTTGTTTAAAAACACTATAAACGGTTTGGTACCATATATTACAATCCAGTATGGCACTTCATTAATTAGTTCCATTTTTTTGCACACCTCTAGAATTATTGTATGTTGGCATTCACATTATAGGTCTTATTTTAGGGATAAGAAGAACCATTAGCATCCATTTCATGCAAGTTAGTCCTAGGATGCTTTAAACTTAATTTTTACTCCTTATATACTACCCACAACAACAACCCACTTGAATCCCAAAAAAGTAAGACCTGGGGAGGATGTGTGTATGCAGACCTTACCCCTACTCGAATGTAGAGAGACTGTTTTCAAAGGGACACCCGGCTCAACGTCGAAAGTTGCATTGATTTTCTAACTGCTACTTCATTAATTAAAGAAGCGCATACAATTTCAAGATCCATTTTGTTTTATTCTTATTCCATTACATCTCAAAGCCAAAAAATGGTGAATTTTTTGGTTCCATCGGAGATAATAAAAATTCCTTATATACTATAGAGTAGTGCATAAGCCCTATTTTAAAAAAATGAAAAAATGTTGGGTTGGCAAAAAAGGTTAGGTAATCCTCCCTCCGTTCTCTTAAGATCCTCTCGTTTTGACTTTTTATGCTTTATAAGGAGAGTTGAAAAAAAGACAAAAGTTTACCAAAATATCTTTAATAAAAATGAGTGGTGTATTGAATGAGGTTGGTGAGATGTAATAAATAAAGTGATAATATTTATGGTATTTAAAATGTTAAAAAAAATAATGAGAAAATCTATGTAAGACAAATAAAAAGGACTAATGTGAAGATGCACGAGGTTGGGAGGGAGGGAGTAACTAATACACTAACATGGGACATGCACGTATTACCAATTGGGTGGGTAGTGGAATTGTCCCACCATGGAGGGCTTCTTGCCAAACAAACCACTTCCCTATTTACATATATGCAAATTAAATTCACTAAGGTTCCCATGACATTTTCCGGCAATGTCATGGGATGATGCGGGGTCGCTCCAGTACTCCGTTCGTAAAATTGACGGTCCTACCATCCCTAACCTCTCTGGTAAACCCCCACCCGCCCTAACCCGAACACACCCTCCTACCCCCTTCAATTGCATCCCACAAGTTGATTTGCCCAATTCAATTTGTCCCAAACAAACTTTGGCTCAATATAATCAACCATATTTTTGCTAACGTTTTTTTCTCCCATTTACTACGGAGTATTTTATATGCTTTAGTTTAATGGACTTATATATGGTAGCAACGGCCGAGCTCTTGCCTGCACTATTTTAATGCTTTATGTGTGAACAAAAAATTGTCTATTGTACACTTGGTGTGAAAGTACATACTAGTTTCATGGTAAAAATAATTCAATTATTAATTTTTCAGGTAAATTTCAATCCAAAGTTTAAACGATATATCATTTTGATGCCTGAACTTTATTTTCTCTTAAAAAATATTCGAACTTGGAGGAAATTTCACAAAATAACCTGAAGCCAGTTTCCACGTTACTGTCAGGTTACTTTGGACATAATTGAAATTCTATATAAAATTGCAATTACGATTAAAGTGACGTGACAATAACCTGGAAACGGGCTACATGTATTTATGTGAAATTTCTTTAAAATTCGGATGTTTTTTTCGAAAGGAAATAAAGTTCAAGTACGAAGATGATATATCGCTCAAAACTCGGGTACCATCAATAAAATATACCTCTAATTTCTCAGATACAAGAATGTATTTTGGGAGGAAGAAACTTGAGTAAACTTCACTTCCGCAAAGTGTAAAAATCTATTTTTCTGGAAGATAAGCAGTCTCTTTGTTTTTTTACATCGGTAAAATTGCGTAAACTTTGACCTTCAAACTCGAACTATTAACTATTCAAAATAGTTATCCCTTTTTTGTTTGAATTTAACATTTAAATTAATTTCTTTTATGCAAAGTTTAAGCAAATAAAAGGGGTAAAGTTTAACTACATACGGAATTTAAAATGGAGTCATAAATTCAAAAATGGATTTTAATGTAATTATGAAATGTAAGTAGTTAGTTTACTTTGTTAGAGGGGCCATAGAAAGGAACACGAGAAATGGATCAAATTTGAGAACTATAGACCATTATGGTATCAATATCAAATTATCAGTCCATAAAAGCTGATTATATCATTCACAAGTCTAAGAAAAACAACACATGAAATCTGTAATCTGTATACACCTGTAGAGATACAACACAATATTGGTATTGTTAAAAAAAAGTGCTGCAGATTTCAATAAAAATAAAGGTAGAAAATGACAAGAATTTACACTAAAAATACAAACATCATCGTGTTCTAGTCACAAAACATCATCGTATACGGAGTAACTCGTTCGTTCACGCATTCAGGGAGAGGTCATGATCTGCATGAACGTAGAGTGATGCCCCCACAAAAAGCAGCAAGTATGAAGTAGAGGAAGGCGACAATCAAGCATGTAAGTAAAATCCTGTGGGAGATTAAGAAAGGTAAAATTATAGTCATTTTGTGCACATCAGAAATGAAAATAGGGTAAGAAGGCCGAGGGTTTAGTTTTAAGAGTTCGGAGTGACCGACCATTCACAACTCATGAAACTTTGTACCTTGAGTAAAAATATAAAAGTTGTAAAAGAAGTTCTAGTTTGCTTCTTCATGGAGTTAAGAAAAAAATGAAATTGTATGGTGGAAGTTTATGCAGAGGAGAGGGAAATAATGTGAATCACTCATTTCTTTCCCTAAATGGAATGAAAGCTTTTTAAGAAAACAGAAAAAAATGAAAGTAGGGAGTTCTTTTGTTCTTTTAGGGACGGAGGGAGCAAATAACCAGGCTCTGTCCTTACTCCTTATTCCCTTAGAGACTAACAAGCATTTCTAGGGTCATGAAAGACTTACAAGAGTTTTGCATTTTTCATCCATAAAGCTTGCTTAAGGCGCTTTGACTGCTTTCGGAAGTGAAATGCATTGTCTTGCATTGTAGCTGTTTTGTCAACCAAAAGTTCAAGCCTGTCACCTCGCTCGAGTAATTTCTCGATATTATCCACCATGATGGCGTGTATCTGAATTTATATTCAATATAAGATGATGAAGCAACTCAGAAAAGGTCAAGTCTATAAAAATAGAGAAAAAAAGAAGACAACCAATCCGGAGTAAAAGGCATAGAGAATACTAATTCGTCACTCGTAAAGCATGTATTCACAAAAATAGGAGTATCATTCCAACATTTTTACAAGATAGACTTGAACTACGCCTTTAACATATTAGATGCATTTACTCCCTTATCTAACAAGGACAAAAACTGATTAATCCATTCTGCTAAGACTAAAATAAAATCGGCAGTACTTTCTCTATTCGAAAAAATTAGAAGAAACACTTGCCTCACCAACTTCACTTCTAACATGATTCAGCGTGTCTGCACTATGATTCCTTGAAAAGAACTCCATTTGCTGATGTAAAACCCTGGAGAATTCATCATTCATTGCATAAGCGGGTGCTTGGGAAGCAATCCTACCATAATTCTTCATGAACCTCATATGAATATCCTCCAAATATGAGAATGGTATCCTTCCTGTTTAACGACAAACAAAATCCTTAGTATTGCATACATTTTATTTCAACTTATGACAGGGTCACTTTTTTTGGGGGACGTTTTAGAATGTATTGTCTAAAACATCACCAATGTCTACAATTTTGGCATTAAATTATACTTCAATAGGCTTCCCTACGAAATCGTCACAACATGTCGAAGTGTGAGTTTCTTTCTAGGCAAATCTTTTGTAAAAACAAATGGAAAAGGAAAAATTGAATTCAACACGCACACTGAATGTAAAAAAAATTACATATTTGAAGGGAGTAGTTGGGATTAAAATGTTGATGAAGAAGATGATGATGGAAGCAGGTTTCAGAAAAAATCTATACCCATACAGATTGTATATTTGCATAGCAAGTTCAGTGAGTAATACAGAGCTGCTCATACCTAATTTCTAAAACTCTGATCTATGCATCATCAAATATCTGAAAACTTGTTCTAAGCATCGCCAAATAACTGAAAATCAAGATGGAAAGTGGATTAAGCTTCCTAGAGGAATTAGGGGAGGGAAAAGAGTCAATTTTTTTAAGAGAGAAAATCAGCTAAAACAAATAAATAAAGCTACAAGCACAGATTAGTTAGATACGAAAGATAATTTATCCTTTGAATTTGAAGGATTATCAACACAGTGATCGAATGGATTCAGAAATGGAAAAAAATAAATTTGAAAAAAAGGAAACGAATCGGATTTAGGGCACTCACTGCCAAAGGTGTCGTTGGCCATACAAAGGAAGGTCAGGCCATCGGACATAAGAATGTGAAAGATGTACCGACCCTGAGAGAAGCAGAGCCTAGACTCAGCCGCCCCCGATGCCGAAAGCTTCTCCAGGATCCGCCGCGCTACCGCCCCGGTGTTCCCCGTCACGGCGCTAAACTCCGCCAAAACCGTCGCCCCCCTAGCAACCAGACCGTACAGTATCGCCATCGGCCCAAGCGCTGACGACACCAAACGGAGGATTGCAGTGGCAGAAGAAGCGTTTGAAAGAAAGGAGACGGACGAGTTGGAAATGATTGTGTCACGGACGGAATGGGCTTCGAAAATAGATGCGTCACACCCGTGTATGTAAGTATTGACCAAAATTTTTCTTTGTTTTTTTTATGTTCATTGATCTAGAATTCGCATAAAAAAACGTTAAGTTCATGTTAAAGTAGAAAAAAACTACCCCTCCATCCAAACAAAAAAATTATGTTTCATTTTTTGGCGCATTCCAAAAAAAATACTCTACTCATATCTAAAATACTTAAAAATTACCACATTTACCCTTTATTGTGGGTAGAAGTCGTTTTGAAAACTTTTTGCATTTGAGACGATATAGAAGTGTTTTATGATATGCGTAAAAAATGAAACGTAACCTCTTTTTTTACGGAGGGGGTATGTAGCCACAAAATTATTTGAAAAATTTTATTTTCTTTCAAAAAATATAAAGTTGATATTTAAATATTTTTTTTAAAAATTTAAAATGTATACTACGTATATTAAAAAGAAAAAAAATTATAAATTGATAAATAATGTATTTTTGTTATGTATAATAAGTTCATTATTAATTTGTGTTCACAATCAAAATGAAATATACCATCACATTCATCTCATATATTTTTCAGCATGTTCTGTACTTGTGAAATGAATATACCATCACATGTTTGCTCGATTTGTAGGCCAAGAAAGAAGGTCAGCTCCCCAATACTCATTTCAATTTTTTTCTCCATAATTATTTCAACAAATTTTTCAATAGGAGTATGTGACGTTGATCCAAAAATTATATCATTAACGTAAATTTGAGCTATAAGGATATCCTTCTTGAGCAACATATGTTATGAGTCTATCGTACCAGGCTCGGGGTGCCTGTTTCAGTCCATACAGTGCTTTTCGAAGCTTGTAAACATATGTTGGATGTTTGGGGTAACCCTTTGGGTTAAGATACGTACACCTCTTCTTTTAAGTATCCATTGAGGAATGTGGTTTTAACATCCATTTGATATAACTTCATGTTCCACACACATGCCATGCCGATTAGCATCCCAATGGATTCAAGCCTAACTATGGATTCAACCTGTGTGTACCCTTGGGCTGCCAATCTAGCTTTGTTCCTGATTACTTTTCTTTCTTCATCTCTCTTGTTTCGATAGATCCAATTTGCTCCTATAACATTTACATCTTCTGACTTTGGTACAAGTTCATTACTACAAAATATGGATTACACATCGGATAAGTTTGATGTTTCCCAGCGCATATCAACCGTTGTGTATGTGACCGGTGCAATAGGTATCATGTTTATACAACGGATATTTAACCGATGTGTAATGTAACAGTATACTTTACACAACGGATAAAAATCCACTGTGTAAAAGTACCAAAAAGTTGATAGAGCATATACACCAGACATATATCCGTTGTATTATAGTTTACACAATGAATATTTATCCGCTGTCTATTAATGTCATAAAATTACTGTTATACAGCAAATTTTTATCCGATGTGTAATAATACTCTTTTTTTTCGTCTAGCACTCTAGCACATTTATTATAAACACATATTGCATTTAACTGCTCCATATAAATTAATATCCAACACGAAATATCCATTAAACTAAACATCCAAAATACACATTCTATGAAAATGTTACTCTTTACCCACAAAAAGTTTCATTCTCTATTTAAATAGGACTAAAACTTGCCAACTAAAAAGCATCCATGACAAAGTGCATGTTAGGTTCTATTGAGTATAATGAGTATTACATTCCAAACAAAGAGTTAGCTCTTGCACATGTCATCATCAACTTGATAATAAGAGCTCCAAATCCTGGTTTTTTCCCTCTTTAAGGCGCTCAAAATGAACTCCATCTTACAATACAAACCTCTGCAAAATGGAGGAAAATATCTACCAAAGTATTTCAAAAGACAATTGACAAATCAAAGTATTTTAATACATTACACTACAATAAAAATGAGTTATAAGGATACTATTAAAGGACATATAATTTAGAAAGTGTCATTAAAGATTATTGATGACACACCCTTTTAATTTAGGATCCAAGTCATCCAACAGCTTTCAATGGGTATGTTTTGGCATCTTTGGATTTTTATTTCAGCAACATTGAATTCTGGCAATTTTCAACAATCCCCATAGCAGATCACATTGATCCATGCTCTGCAAGAGTGCATGCATCAATCCATAACTGAACACCAGAGGCTTCTTACTTTGATGAAAGGAGCTGAGACTGCAGAAAGGGTCTAGTAACACAAAGTATTCTGCGTGCAGATTATACTGTACATAAGATTATACAGTACATAGAATTCGAGGTTAGTGACTTTGAGACTTTGAGTGTATTTTTGCTAGTTGATCTTTGATAATATTTATCACGTGAGATAGTTTTAAGATAAATGGGGTTAGATAGCACATTCTCTTGATTTCTTCTAACTTTTTCTAGTTTAATTTCATCTAACACCTATATTTCAACTCTAATCAACAAGACCTAAATTTACTAATTCAGATACACCAGAGGAAGTATGTACGTAAAAAATGTAATTGGACTGAAAAATAACAGCAAATTCCTAAAATGGTCCTTTGTAATAAGGTGTTTTCTCAATCCAGTCTTCAATAAGTATTAATTACCTACATGGTACTCTATAATTGAGATTTATTTCCAGAATAATCCTTTGTAAATAATGTTACTCAAATGATGATTAATTGAGAGATATTTTGGTATTTTGATCATCCAAATTTAAAGTATATTCTCGAAACAATTATTTCTGTACAACTAAATGTAAAATTGAAAGAATAATTTATGAATTATTTAAAACTTATAAAAAATCTTTTAAATTTCAAATCAAATACACATCTTTAATTAGAAAACTCCATTTTGGCAAAAGTACTTCTTAATAAATGATCATTTTAAGATTTAATTATAAATTTAGAAGATAAAAAATACCAAAATACCCTCAATTAATCTTCATTTGAGTAACATTAATTATTTACGAAGGACCATCTTGGGAATAAATTTCAATTATAGACGACCACGTATGTAACGCCCTCAAACCGGCCTAGTTTAAATAAATAAATACTCCCTCCGTCCCAAAAAGATTTACACCTTTCAAAAAAATTGTGTCCCACAATCTCCTACCCATTTCTATTAAAAAACCACTTTTATCCCTTACTTTTTCAAACCCTACCTATCACATCATACCTTTTTCCTAATAATCTACACATCACATCCTACTTTTACCCATCACATCAAGGGTATTTTTGGAAACTCAACACAAAATTACCACTCCCTTAATTTCAACTTTAGTTAAAACGTGTAAATCTTTTTGGGACGGAGGTAGTATTATTTATTTATTGAGACTCATTATTTTAAATTAATAAATATTGAGATTACGATCCGTTCAATGATTTCCAAAGCTACTGTATTTTAATTATAAAAGATATTTTAATAACGGGTCTCTCGACATTAATTAAGTAAATAAATTAATGATTGGGATGGATCCGTAAGTTTGAAAATAAAAGTTCTTAGAAAAATTATTTGAACATGTCATTAAATTCGATTTGACTGTCTGATTCAAGAAACGCAAATGAATCTCAATTCGGACCCGTGCGGGGAAAATAGCATGTACCGTTCAGGTCAGATTTTAACACAACGGAGTAAAATTAAGGGAGATAACTCCCCATTTATTCCCATACGTAGGAATATCGTACGCAACCTACGTAGAATCTATGCATGTTCGTAGGTTAGCCATCAAAACATTCACTACGTAAAACTTGTATATATAATGACCTAGAAATTACTAGGAATATATTCATCAATGTTTGTATTAATATTCTAAAAGAATAAAGGTGTTAAGTATTCAAAATGGATCAAAACGAAGCTAAGGACAGAGGACTGTCTTCGGGACGGTTGACCGCCGCTACGGACGGTGGACCGTTCCCTCGGCCATCCCGACGGTCACCACTGTGACGGTCGACCGCCGGCCGTGACGGTCGACCGTTTATATCCCAGACCCAGACCGTAACCCGCGGTCGACTGCCGGTAGGGTACGGTCGACCGTTCCTTGGGCAGATTTTCGGGCAGGTTGTAGAACGAGCCCCGTTGACCATATTGACCTAGAATCTGATTGTATGTTTTCGTGAAATGTTAATCTACATTACATATGTTATTTTATTGATATATTCTTGGCTTGATCAAAGGTAAATATATCAAGCAATCATCATGTTCATTCTAGACGCATGTCCTAGGTTTTTCATCATGTGCATACCGCTGTAGGGAGGTCAGGCTTTCGTGCACCTACTACAGTGGGCCCATCCAGGAACCTTCGGGTTCCAACGGGTTTTCATCAAGTGGGCCTTGTGTACGTACATAGTAGTCAGGTTACGGCTACTACCCGGTTTTGCTAGTCCACTTATTCCCGGCTCATTACCGTTTCGGTATGACAATCGGAGTGCAGGGGTGATCCTGTCAAGTGGGACTAAGCCAGGGGTGTCCCTGATAGTTTAAGTCATGCATCAAGTCATATCATCATCATCATGTATGTTCCACATCACATCAACATTCAATGTGGTAGCACATCATTTTGTTATATGTAATAGTGAAAGGTAACCATGCAAGGATAAGCAGCGGAAATTAAAAATTTTAACATCCTAACATGATTATCTTGCCCAGAATCACGTACTAAAACTTATAGTGAGTAAGAAATTTATACCTTTCTCCGTAAGCGGTAAAAACGAAGAAGTCGTAGAAAGAGCGTTGAAAGTGCAAATGTAACCGTTCAAGCGTCCGGTCTCCAACTTTGACACACGAACAACGCCAGAGTCTACCACAATCTTTATGCTAGTAAAGATTATAATAGTATAAAATATAAAGATTAAAATTGGGATAATAATAATCTTGTATATTTCTATAGAAAATATTTCTAATAATATTTAGAAAATATTATAGATATTTTCTATACACAAAATGATATTAATGGAACCAAAATAATATTTTTCTCTCACTAGAAATACAATGGCCGAAAGTATGCTTAAGTATGCTTAAGTAATCAATTGATGATCCTCACTCTTTAAAATGGAATTGCCGTGTTATTTAAAAAAAAACAAAGATTACAAATTGATTAATCATATTTTGTCATTAAGCTAAAGGTTAAAACATTATTAGCTCCACTAATTTCAATCATATAAATTTGATCCTTTAAAATCTCCACTTGGCCATAAGTGTAGATTGTGAGAAGGATTTGTGAAATTCTTCTCCACTTAAATGTTCAAAGTGTATTTTATTTGACACCAAAAATTAATATAAAATTAATTTTAAATCAAATAAAAATACCCATATCATTTTTTAAACAAGTATACAAATATACTTTAAATAGTTTATGTCAAAATAATTATTTTCATAATTAAAATGACAAACCAAAATAAAATATTCAACATATAATATATATATAT